ATTTTAAATGAGATAAAATCATTACAAGAGAAACAAAAAAAAAACAAAAAAAACTGACAACGTTCTTGGGGACTTGAGGGCACAAATGAACGCTATTGACCGAGATGTCTCTGCCTTAAAAGTGATAAAAGATGAAGTCGCTTCAATGTCCACAATGAATGCAAGAGCCACTGCAGACCTTGAACGTGTAATGCAGAAGTGTGAAAACCTAGAAAACCAGTCTAGACGTAAGAATCTTTTGTTCTTCAACCTTCCTGACGTTCGCGGTGAAACGTGGGCAAAATCTGAGGAAAGCGTGATTGCCTTCTGCAATGAAATGCTTGGCGTCACCATTCTCCCTCCTGCTATCGAGCGTGCTCACAGGCTTGGCTCTTTTCGTGAAAACCGAGCGTCTCCGAGGCCTCTCATTGTAAAATTCAACTCGTACAAAGAAAAAGAGCTGATCTTGTCAAAGGCGTTGAAACTAAAGGGAACTAGTTTCCGGTTAAGCGATGATTATTTAATCGATGTCCGTAATGCAAGAAGAGAACTTGTCACGTTTGCAAATTCTAAAGGACACGATTTTAAGCTTCGGCATGACAAATTGATAATGGGGAACATAAAGCACATTTACGATAAACAATATAAATCAGTGGAAGCACTCCCTGCATAGCAATCGCACGGTCATCAACCGCGTTCCTCCTCCCCCGAAAGCTGCTCTCGCCCCGTTTAAAGTCTAAATTTTTTCGTTGCCAACAGTAGAAGTGTTTATACAAAGCAAGACGACCTTCTTTCGGCAGTCCAGTCATGCTCAGCCGACGTTATCATTTTAACAGAAACTTGGCTCACAGATGATATCTCAAACTCGGAACTAACCATACACCCCTCACATTTTATTTTTCGTAATGACAGAGCAGGCCGAAAGGGAGGAGGAGTGCTTGTAGCAGTCAAAAAGACATACCGTATTGATTGTTCTGATACTGTTCCAACCTTTCAAGCCGTTTGGGTTAGAATAAAAATACCTACCATGTTTATTATTGTAGTTGCTTGTTATAAGCCCCCAAGTGTTCTGGGTTTTGCTCCGCTACTTCATGATTTTCTGGAGTCTCTTGTTCTTTTATACCCAAATGATGTACTTGTTATTTCTGATGATTTCAACTACCCTGAAATTAAGTGGTCCCTTCTGTCTTATAAAATACAATTTTTATCGTGGCAAAACCTTTTAAAACAATCTCGGGATTTTGTTGACGTTATATACTCTTTTGCACTTTCTCAAATTGTTAATAATAAACCCAGTCGCGGTGAAGCCATGCTTGACCTTTTTTTTTATATCAAAACCCGATCTAGTTGCAAATACTGTGTATATGGAACCATTAAGTGATCACAGATTTATTAATGTTGAACTTTTCATTCCATCATGTGAGCAACCTCTTCGGGCAAAAACGATTTCCAGTTACTCAAGGGCAAACCTCGACGACAGAAACTTGGCTCACAGATGATATCTCAAACTCGGAACTAACCATACACCCCTCACATTTTATTTTTCGTAATGACAGAGCAGGCCGAAAGGGAGGAGGAGTGCTTGTAGCAGTCAAAAAGACATACCGTATTGATTGTTCTGATACTGTTCCAACCTTTCAAGCCGTTTGGGTTAGAATAAAAATACCTACCATGTTTATTATTGTAGTTGCTTGTTATAAGCCCCCAAGACTTGGCAGCAGCGCGGCACCACATCGGCCCATCGCTTATTCTTCGTACCTTCATATATTACAGTTTCATCGCCGTCGGGCCCTGCTCTTCGACGACTCAGCTATTCAACCGCACGTGCCCCTGCTTCAGATACGTCATCACCTTTCCGGCTGGTGACTGGTCCTGCCTCTGTTCGTCGCCAGGGACCAGCATTTAGAAGAGCGGGCCATCTCAAGTCAGCGGCACTTGGCAGCAGCGCGGCACCACATCGGCCCATCGCTTATTCTTCGTACCTTCATATATTACAGTTTCATCGCCGTCGGGCCCTGCTCTTCGACGACTCAGCTATTCAACCGCACGTGCCCCTGCTTCAGATACGTCATCACCTTTCCGGCTGGTGACTGGTCCTGCCTCTGTTCGTCGCCAGGGACCAGCATTTAGAAGAGCGGGCCATCTCAAGTCAGCGGCACTTGGCAGCAGCGCGGCACCACATCGGCCCATCGCTTATTCTTCGTACCTTCATATATTACAGGTTTGCACTCATTCCTTTTTGTTAATCAATCAAAATTACGCCAAAACGCTGTTGCTGCTGCCTGTAAATCGTTTTTGTTTGCATTTTTTTTACGGACTAACTTATTTCTTGTTTTCCTCTGTGTGTTTTCCGTTGCGCTCTACCGATTTTTTGCTCGGCCCGTCATGGGCAACGAAACCAAAGAACTAGCTAAGGCGCTGGAGGATCTTCGCCGCGAGCTGCGTGCAGACTTGCGCAGTTTGAAAGAAGGCGTGAAGTTCTGTAGTGACACGTGCGATGGAGTGAAGGTCATAAGGGACGACATGAAAGAACTGCGTAAAGAAATACTAGACCTTACGAAACGGAACCAGGAACTCGATGCTGAAAACTGCAGGCTAGGCGCCAGAGTAGAAGAATTAGAGCAGTACCAAAGATCGAACAATCTCGAAATCAAGGGGGTACCAAGCGAGGGCGATGTGACTGATGTTATCAAGAGAATCGGCGCCCTTCTTAATGAACCAGTGGCGGATGCGGACATTGACATCTGCCACCGCGTCGCCACTTTTATGCCAGATCAAAAGAACATAATTGTTCGCTTCGTCCAGCGCTCAAAAAGGAACACAATTTTGGAAAAGGCCAAAAAAAAAAACGGATCACTACTGCATCCCTCGAGTTTGGCGGAGCCGAGTCACCGGTTTATGTAAACGAACACTTGACAGGCTTGAACAAAAAACTGCTGGGAACGGCTATCGCGCAGAAAAGAAGGGTTGGGTGGAAGTTTGTGTGGTGCTCTGGTGGCAAAATATTTGCGCGTAAAGATACGACGTCAGATGTACTTAAAATTACTTGCCTGGGTGATGGTGAAAAAATTAGGAATTAGCGTAGAATATTTCGATGACTGCTGTATTTTTGTATAACTTCATAATTCTCGATGGCGGTGCAAAATTGCTTTTACCACCCTCACGAAGTGAATGCGTTGTTTGGAAAAACTGATAAGAAATGTCTCAAATTTTTTTACCTAAACGTTAGGTCAGCGCGATCTAAAACCGATGACCTCTTTTTACTTTTTAACACGTTTGAACCAATGTTCGATATCATCATGCTCACTGAAACCTGGTACAGCGATGACAGCGATGTTTTTCTTTTACCGGGATATGAACACTTTTATCTGAACCGCAAACAAAACCGTGGTGGTGGTGTATCCATCTTGATATCAAACACAGGTTTTGAGATTGTATCCGAATACTCAGCCATTACAGATCATTACGAAGTACTATGCATACGTAAAAACCTTGAAGTGTATTGTGTTGTTTACCGCCCACCAAATGGAAATGTGTCCCAGTTCTTTGAATTTCTAGAAAAGTTGTTTAGCTCTATGACTGAAGTTAAATGCAATTTCATCCTTGGAGGCGACCTAAATATTGATTTTCTTGATCTATCACGTAATCAGTCGGAGTTATCTTTATTACTGTCTGCACATAATCTTCAGAATGTCATATCTCTTCCCACGCGTATAACAGCGTCATGTTCCTCCTTGCTTGACATGTTTATTACCAATCACGATAGCTCAAATATTACTGCTGGAGTAATGTGTTTAGATTTGAGTGATCATTTGCCCATATTCATGCTGATTCATAAACATAACGCTACAGCTAAAACGAAGGTCAATAAACTTCAACCCACCAGATACATTAGAAGCATTAACGATAAAACGTTGCAGGCGTTTAGAAGAAACGTTGAGAGCGCGAACTGGAGCAGTATAAATAGGCATAAAGGATATAAATAAAGCTTACGACAAATTTATTGAGGTTTTTAAAAGTATTTATACGTCCTCATTTCCATTAAGATTGGTTAGAACCGATAGACGTGCCCGGAAACCCTGGGTTACTAAAGATCACTTAAAATCAATGCGTGCCAAAGATCGCTTATATAAAGCATTTTTAAAATCGCGAGACTTGGTCAAACTAGCAGAATTTAAGTTACTGAGAAACCACCTGAACGCAGATTTGAGGCGTGCAAAGCGGAACTATTATAACCAACTTTTTGATTTTGAATGTATGAAGCATCCTGACTTGCTTTGGAAAAGACTTAATGCTCTCTTGGGCAAAAATACTAACAATGATAGAATAGAAAAATTAGTTATTGATGGGATGGAAAAGTGCGGTTCTGAACTATCAGATGCTTTTAATCGTTATTTTGTGAACGTTGGGTCTAGTACCTACTGCAGTGATGCAGCACAAAATATACCTAGAGTTTGTGATACTATATTTTTTTATCCTACCGATGAATATGAAGTTTTTTCGACGATAAATAATTTACGCAACAATCACAGTTGCGATGCTGATAGTATAAACATTAAACCCGTGAAATTTGTTGTCGACCTCATTGTGCCTTGTTTAACACATATTTATAACCTTGCTCTTTCGTCGGGTGTGTTTCCCACAGGCATGAAAACAGCAAAAGTAACAGTACTGTTTAAGGCAGGAGATAGAAATAGTATGGGGAACTATCGTCCAATATCCATTCTTCCTATTTTTTCAAAAGCCTTAGAAAAGCTTATGCACTCAAGGATCACAAATTTCTCAGATCATCATAATGTATTAATAGAATCTCAGTTTGGGTTTAGAAAATTTAGGTCTACCGAGTCTGCCCTTTTGCACCAAAAAGAAATTATTTTAGATACTTTAGAAAAAAAGTTAACAACGATTGGCGTTTTCCTTGACTTTAGTAAAGCGTTTGATTGCATCAACCATGGTATACGTTTAGACAAGCTATTTTCGTATGGCTTTCGGGGAGTTTCATTTTCATTGTTAAGGTCATATTTTGAGAACCGTTGCCAATATGTTTCCATAAACGAGCATAGGTCCTCTTTGCTTAACATTAATTGCGGTGTTCCCCAAGGAAGCATTCTAGGTCCCCTTTTATTTCTTTTTTATATAAACGATATAGTTGCTATTGACTCTGATGTAGATTTTATTATTTATGCAGATGATACAAGTATGATCATTTCTGATTCAAATAGTGAACGTCTTATCAGCAAAACAAATAATGTCCTTTCAAAATTAAAAACCTGGTGCATAAACAATTCCCTTCATATAAATGCTAGCAAGAGCAAGGCTATAATATTCCAACTACATTCCAGAACTCAAGCAACCTCATCCTCTCTTCTGAAATATGGCACTGATATTATTCAATATGTTGAAAATGTAAAAACTCTTGGTGTATTTTTTTCTTATAACATGTCTTGGAACGACCATATTAGACACGTTCGCACTAAACTTTCTAGAATAGTGGGTGTGTTAAATAAATATAGAAACATTTTACCCACAAGTGTCAAAATTCAACTTTTTAAATCACTATTCTATCCCATCTTATGCTACGCGCACCTAGTGTGGGGGTCTACCGGCACAACGAACTTAAACTTGCTTCGAATATTGCAAAAAAAAGCTCTACGAGCCATAGCTAATGTCTCTTCAACCTCTCCATCCTTGCCACTGTTTGAGAAGTACTCCATACTTGACGTTTCAAAAATGTATCCACAACGATTAATATTAACATTCCAGTCTGCCATGAAAGGTAAATATGATACTTTTCTCGCTATTGCGGACCTTCATTTGCACGATTGCATTCGTCAAACACGTCAGATACATCCATGGCATATACCACAATCACGAACTAACTTTGGACGTCAAAGAATTAAACATGCACTTCCCGAGCTACTAAATCATATCGCATCATTAGGAATTGATGTTATGTCAGTGGGCAGAAATGATATCTCTTGCATTGTATAATACTTAATACATACCTTCTATTGTTTTTTTGTTTTTTTTCTGTGTTAGTGTTGCTTGCCTTGTAGGGGTACCAAAGGGCTGGTCAAGCTGCAAATAGCAGCTTTTTTCCTTTGGTTTTCCCCCATCGTTGATGGAAATAAAGAAATGTTTCAATGTTTCAAAGTGTTCTGGATTTTGCTCCGCTACTTCATGATTTTCTGGAGTCTCTTGTTCTTTTATACCCAAATGATGTACTTGTTATTTCTGATGATTTCAACTACCCTGAAATTAAGTGGTCCCTTCTGTCTTATAAAATACAATTTTTATCGTGGCAAAACCTTTTAAAACAATCTCGGGATTTTGTTGACGTTATATACTCTTTTGCACTTTCTCAAATTGTTAATAAACCCAGTCGCGGTGAAGCCATGCTTGACCTTTTTTTTTATATCAAAACCCGATCTAGTTGCAAATACTGTGTATATGGAACCATTAAGTGATCACAGATTTATTAATGTTGAACTTTTCATTCCATCATGTGAGCAACCTCTTCGGGCAAAAACAATTTCCAGTTACTCAAGGGCAAACCTCGACGCTATTAACCAGCACTTTTCGCTATTTTCAGCTTGGTTTTTAGAGGAATTTGACTCTAGGTCTTTAAATGAAAACTGGATTTTGTTTAAGTGTAAATTGCTTGAGTTGTGTGACAAATTTATTCCGAAACTAACCATTCACACGTCGTTTTCGAACCTGTGGTTTTCAACACGTTTGAACAGGTTGCCAAATAAAAAGAATAGACTTTTTCGCGCCGCAAATGCGTCTCAGACTGCTATTTCATGGTTCAAATACAAGGAGTGTTATTTAACTTGCAAATATGAAATAAAAAATGCGAAAGATAAGTTTTTTTAACTTTGATCTTTGTGATATACTGAAAACAAACCCCAAAAAGTTTTGGGCCGCTGTAAATCCAAAGCAGGTAAAGGACTCGGTCAGCTTGAGTGACGCCTCTGGGAAACATTTATCGACAGCCGAGACTTGCGAGCTGTTTTGTACTTTCTTTAGTGAAATCTTCACCGATCAAGTTTTTCGATTACGCTCTTACTGCCCAGATTATCTTATAACCACCCAGATGGATTAGATCATTGTAACAAATGACGGAATTTCAAAATTAATATCAAAGTTACCATCTAACTCGGCTCCCGGTCCTGACCTTATAACTACAAAGCTGCTCAAGATTACAAGTGACATATCAAGTGTACTTTTATCCCGCATATTTCGAAAATCCCTTGACTCTGGTGTTGTTCCGGCTGACTGGATATCTGCAATGGTTGTCCCAATTTTTAAAGATGGCGCAAAAGATGTCCCTACCAATTTCAGACCCATATCTCTAACCTCTGTTGTTAGTAAATTGATAGAACATGTCGTTTATTCTAATGTAATAAATTATTTATGTGTAAATAATATGCTCTTCTCAAACCAGCACGGTTTCCGGCGGTCGTACTCCTGTGAATCTCAACTTTTTGAATTTTTAACGGACATCCAAATAACCTACATAAAAAACATTAAACTCATGCAATCTTCATTGATTTTAGAAAAGCGTTCGATAAAGTCCCACATTGCCGTCTTATGAAAAAATTAAAAGCACTTAAAGTAGAAACGACCGTAACAAACTGGATTGAAAACTTCCTTTCAAACAGAACACATAACGTTGTTATAGACAACAATTGTTCGTCACAACAACTTGTTAAATCGGGAGTACCGCAGGGGACCGTGCTGGGTCCATTGTTGTTCCTAATTTACATAAATGACCTGCCGGATCTTCTCAATTCCACTATCAGATTATATGCGGACGACTGCGTGATTTATAGAAAAATAATGAATGTAACCGACTGTACCCTTTTGCAAATTGACTTGTCACAAATCCAAGCGTGGTGTCGAGAGTGGCAAATGGAGATCAATGTTGACAAAACAAAATTTCTTAACTTCACTACCAAAAAAAAAAAAAACATTACTCAGATTGATTATTCACTTTCTACCATACCAATTGAAGCCGTAACATCCTACAAGTATCTTGGCATCAACTTTAACCATAACTTATCATGGGAGCCTCATATTAACTACATATCTGCGAAAGCAAACAGAAGCTTGGGTTTTTTCAAGCGCCATCTCTATAAGGCCACGCAAGAAACAAAACTCATGGCATATAATTCTCTCATCCGTCCTCAACTTGAGTATGCATCCATTGTCTGGAACCCCCATCAGTTGTATCTAGAAGAAAAATTGGAAGCTGTTCAGAACCGGGCTTCACGTTTCATTCTCCGCAATTATCAGCCTACAAGTGTTAACGCAATGAAAGCAAAATTAAACCTCCCTCTTTTAAAACACAGGAGAAAAGTATCGCGTCTTACCCACCTGCACAAAATATATTATAATTTTCCTATAAAAAAAGATGAATACTGCCCACCTGCCGTCCACATCTCCCCCCGCACTGACCATCCATTCAAAATTCAACTGACTACGCCTAGGACTAACCTATTCAAATTTTCTCCCTTGCAATTGGCTATTACTGATTGGAACAACCTCCCGGAAGCTATTGTGAGCATCACAAAATGCAATGACTTCAGATCTGCCATTTCCTCTCTCGACACCACCTAGCGTCGTGTTTGTACGCGTTCCCAAACATCCTAGCCTTTTTTCCTGTTTGTGTTGTTTTGAGTGTTTAAATATGCCCCCCCCCCCCCCCTTATGTAAAACCCCCTGTGGGCATTTAAGGGTTAAATAAATGAAATAAAATGAAATGAAACAAACTCGGAGCCGCTACTTATCGCGTAGCGTGAAAGAAGTTTAAATCGCTAGCCACCAGATGGCGGGGTCAAGCAGAGTAATTGCAAGTAGCTAGGCTAGGTGGCGCTAGGTACCGCCCAATTCATGTTCTACAAAAAATAATTTGATTACCTCAGGCAACTATTGCGCTTGGGGATCCTCTACTATACACACATTGCGCTTATTAGAAGCATCACGTGAACATACATTGAGTACATACACGGCACACACAAATATCAATACAACGGAAGACCACACTAACCCGAACGCTACACCCGTGCTCCGAGTTTCCGTCTTTTATACTGGACGTTTTGAACGGACAGAATGTTTCGGTGACTAAATAAGCAATAAAAAATATTCCCAGCATGTCGATTTTTTTTCCAGCAATGTCATAACTCTGAGAGTATTTTAAATGGCTCAGGGGATGAATATTTTATTAAAAAGCAAACGGTCGATCATGCCGTAATTATTTGAAAGCCAATAAATCAAGCCGCTCCAATGCGGTTCCAAGCGATGAGTTTGTTTCCCCGCACGGCACGTCGTAGCCTGTATTTCTATTGTAGTGTTTGTTTTTATATTTGTACTGTTCGCGCAAAGCTGCAATGGCCGTCTTGAAATAATCTCCGTAGAGCGGATATTCACTCAGCTGGGAGTGATGCTTCACGGGCTGAGAAATCGCTTTTCGATCAACTTGAATGCAGTCAAAGCCGCGACTTGTGGCAGGTGTTAAGTGTACGGAGCTACGCCGTGGCGAGCCCGAAAACTTCTAGCGCTCATCCCAGCGCGCCACTTGGAGGGCAGTTTCTCCAGGAACCGTAGTATATTTAAACAGCAAAATAAAGGGTAGCTTTTTTTTTATTTTACCTACTATTGTTTTTTAATGCTAAAATTCCACACTGTAAATATACGTACCTTCCGTCACGATTTCGTACTGATGTCCTTGCCCCAGAGCGCAATCGCTCTTGGGGACGAGACAACCGACAGTCTCATTGGCCGCTGCACGATAGGAGCTTATACTGTTCAGACCAGCGCTCCAACATGACTATCCGCACGTTGATCGGTTGCACGTAATCCCTCAAGTGGTATTAAACTTTTTAATGTAAAGCGCAATGTCAACCTGCGACACCCCGCCCCGCCCAGCGGCATCAATGCCCGACAGTTAACCATCTCATCTTGTTGTTACACCACTGATACGCGAACACACGGTCACATCGGCGATAATTCCAATCTTCTGTTCACAACCCACAACACTGCCATCACGATGTTGCAGCTATGTTGCTGACACGCACAAATACAGAACCACGTTGAACGCCGGTTGCACGCGGCATCGGAAAACAGAACCGAACTCAGCACGGAAAGCACCCAGGCAGCCGGCAGCAAAACCTGCCTGTCTTGAACGCAGTTCCTGCGGTTTCCCTAACGTCGAAAACGTCAACACAGTTCCGAGTTCCGCGTGGTTTCGCTACTGTAATTCCTGTAGTTCCGTGCCGCGCCATCCTACCCAATGTACGTGGCGCTGCTGGCACTGCTCCGGAACTTCGCTGTTTCTAGCAGCTTCGTTTTGCTCGTTTGATAAAATTAGTGATAAAAACTTCAATGCAATCGAAATGTTCTGCACGTTTAGACTAGAAGACGGAATTACAGGCGGCCTTCGCTGCCGCTGAAGCTCAATCAACAGCTATTTATTAAACATCGTGCGCGACCTGCTCGAAAACGAAACCGAAAGAAGATGAGTCGTGAGGGCGAAAGCTTTCTCCCGTCTGCCTGGAGAAGGAGAAAAACGTTTCGTTCCTCCCCTTTTCTCGTGTTCACTTGGGGACGCGTCAGTAGAAGGAGGAAGACGCGCCGTTGCTACTTTTCTCCTTGATTTTTTCTTAGAGTGTAGTGGCCCTTGAAATGTCCTGCGAAATCCCTGTGGGAACGGCCAGGGGGTGATCTCCACGTGACGCGAGGCTCGCTGGTGCTCCTGGCAGACCTGGCAGCCTTGCACCAGGTGAGCGATGTCCTGGTTCAGGCCAGGCCACCGAACGTGCGACCGTGCCACCATCTTGGTCTTTTCCACGCCAGGGTGCCCCGCATGTAGGAACTGCAGGACCTTGGCCCGGAGACTTCGTGGAATCACCACCCTGAGACCCCACAGCAGGCAGCCCTGCCCCAAGCTCAGCTCGGCTGCCTTGGGCTGTAGGTCTGGTGACGCAGCTCCTCTTTCGGGACACCGCTTTGACCACCTGAGACAGGACCGGGTCTCGGCCGGTCGCCTGCGCCACCGCAGCCCTGGTGAGTACCCCCGAGTAGGCCCGCTCCAGTAGAAAAACTTCAGCTGGCTCTGGAACGGCAGCAGACACCTCCGGCAGGGCCAGGCGGCTGAGGGCGTCGGCAGGTTCCAGGTCCTTCCCAGGGCGATAGACCAGCTTGTAGTTGTAGGCCGCCAGCGTCAAGGCTCAGCGTACCACACGAGATGAGGCTTGCACTGGACCTGCCTTGTCAGGCTCGAGCAGCCCAGCAGTGGCTTGTGGTCTATGACT